CTGGATCTGTGCTGGGACTTTACCTACCATGGAAATACTGTTTCCACACTAGCTCGCAAAAAAATAAACAACCCATTTTAATTGATAGAACGTCCTTTTATAGCCGTAAAACTGGACGAACTTGTCAGAACCATTTTAGGGCTCTGGAAATTGACCAAAAGCAAAACGACAATTTGAGAAGCGTTTATTCATGAAAAGCTGCTGGCCTTTGAGTAAGAACAGTGGGAATCGGCGGTATGTTCGCCTGGGGTCACCTGCATTCCTCGTTCCTTGGCGAAGCAAGCCTCCTAGTGTAGGGCTGGCCATGGAAACAGCGTGTGACACCAGAGGCCGTTGACTTGATTTGGAGCGGACGGCAGCAAACCTGTGCAGTAAGTAGCTAACAATGCCTCCAGCTCTCCTATCCCGAGGACGTGGCCGTACATCGAACAGAAAGGAAACAGGAGAGCCCTAAAGAAGATCTCTGTGCAGCCCTGGCCCACGGGAGGCTGCCTCCATGCCCAGGGGAAGCCCAGGAGGGCCTGGAGGGGAGTAGGGCTGGGGCTGGCCTGAAAACTGGTGGACCACCAGCTGAGCTCTCAAACCAGAAAGCAGAAGCCTTCCTGGCTGAGGTTATTGAGCATAAGCTCCAACTAATCACTGGCTGACCACTGAGCTATGCAGATACAGAGTGACCCCCTAGAGCTTTTTTTGTGGAGAAATGGCGGGGTAAGGGGGGAAACAGTCAGTTGAAACTGTCTCTAAATGGATCCAGGTGTTGAATTTACCAAAGACTTCAAAGCAGCTTTTATAAATATGTTCAAAGAATTAAAAGAAGATGCTATGACTATGACTCAACGAACAGGGAATATCAACAAAGAAATAGGAAAAAGAACCAAACAAAAGTCCTCGAGTTAATTCAATAAATAACCAAAACGAAAAGTTTACTAGATGTGCTACATAGCGGTTTGTGATAGCCAAAGAAAGAATTAGTGAGCTTAAGATGGATCAGTCGATATTAGCCAGTCTGTAGAACAGATGCAGAAAAGCATCAAAGAGAAACAAACAGCTTAGGTGATCTTTTCATAATCTGACTGTATTTTTGTCCTTCTGCATGTAGTGTGAATAGGGAACCTTTTTGTTTCGGAAAAGAAAGCTAACTTTTATCCTCGTTTACCTCGTTCATCCTCCTCCCATTAATTTTGCATGCCGGCTTCCAGTAATTGCAGTTGTACAGTGAGTCTTTTTGAACTTTCTCCTCTGGTTAATCTTTTGGTGTATTTTTGAAAGCACACTGCATTATAAATCACCGTGGCATATTTTATCTGCTAGGATAGGGCAAGTCTTCCTTATTATATGTTTAGTTTTCCAGAAGACCTTGACAATCAGCCAGTCGAGTTCCACTAAAAGCGTTGTTAGGATTTGACTGGGATTATCATGATGAATTGAGAGGTTAATTTGAGGAGTGTGGACTTTGATGTTATTTGAATTTTCAAAGTACATCTAAAAGTAAGTTAATCCATACTAACACTTCAAAAATTTTCACATGTCTTCCCCCAGGAATTATTGATGTTTTTCAAGGCCGAAAAGTACTGAATGTTTTGATAGATTTTTTTTTAACATTGAGGAAGCATCCTTTTCACTTAGTTTACTAAGAGTTTCGTTACGTGGAAACATTACTGAGTTTTATTAACTGCCTTTTTATGTATCTACTATAACTGTTTTTTCCTTTGACTCAACACATTAATGATATATATTACTCGTCTTCCTATATTGAATCATACTTGCATTTATCAAGTAAACTCCACTTGACCGAGGTCAACTATGAGTTTTAGTGTGCTAAACTTTTATTAAGGAATTATTTCGCTTGTCTATTGCAGCATGACACACCACCCCAAACTTAGTGGGTTAACAAACATTTATTATTACTTTTCATGGTTCTGTATGTTGACTGGACAGCTGGCCAGCTTTTGCTTAGGGTCTGATGTGGTTGGGACTGCAGCCATTTGAAAGTTTGCTTGACAGTCCATGAGGGTTTTCCTCTACAGCGGGTGGTCGATGTAGGCTGTTGGCCGGAGACCAGAGCACTTGAATGTCGCCTTTGTACGTGGGCTCAGGCGGCTCACACATGATGGCCGGGCTCAGAGAGAACGTGCCCAGGACAAGCCATCCAAGAAACCCAGGAGGAGCCTGCAAGCCTTCTTAGGACCTCGCTTCGAAGTTTCAGGAAGCCATTTCCATTGCACGCTCTTTGCAAACCAATTTATTAAGTCCCACCCAGATCCAGGGAGAGGAGAGTTATGTGGCAGCTCTCGATACGCAGTTCCACAAGTGCGAAAGGGAAGCCTGTTTGGGGACAGCGAGCTCCGGAGACAGTTCTTAAAAACCTGTCTAGCAGACAGGGTCTAAGAGGCACGCCCTTAACGTTCTTAGAAACTCTTTCTTAAATCTGGGAGGTCTTACAGAAGTGTGCCCTTCATCTTTCTGAGGTGTCACCAGAGCGCCCTTGACTCCATCGTTACCCTGACTCTGAGTATTTTGCTGACCAGAAAATCTATCCTGAACCCTTTCTGTTTACCTAAGTTCTGCCCCGAACCTGGACATTTTTCTTTTATCGTTCATCTCTTCCTGTCCATAGCTTGTCATGTGCATCCGAAAGAAACCAGTTGTGGCTTTTATTAGGTATGTTTTCCTTTTTCCACATTAAGACAAGCGACGGCGTTGCCCAGCTTCTGCCGGTGTGTGGCGCGGGCTGCCTTTTCCCTGGTCTCCAGTTCCGGTTTGCCCACCGCCCCTCCGGTCCTCGCTCACCATCTCCCCAGGACCGTTCCTGCTCCCACCTGCTCCCCTGCCCGAAAACCAGTGCTGCGATGTAGGGTTTTGTTTTGGTAACACCCTATTTTCACTTACCGATTTCTGCTCTGATCACGTCACTACATCAAAATGTAGTGGCCTAAAACAAAGTGGTATATTCTTTTGCTTATGATTTCGTGGGACGGGAATTCAGGGAAAGGTTCAGCTGGGCAGATATCTTTTTTTCATATGACATCAGCTTCTTCACTCACGCACCTTAGGACCTGGCACCGCTTGGCGCCTCTCTGTCTCACTCTCTCCTCCCCCTGCATCTCATTCTCCAGAGTCTCCGCGTGTGGTGGCCTCGGGACAGTAACACTTCTTTCCTGACAGCCAGCTTCCAAAAAGCAGGAAGTAGAAACTGCCAGGCTAATAGGGTCCATGCCTGGAAATAGCAAAGTATTACATCTGCCGTAAATTACTGCTTAATGCGGTTGGAGGGCCAACCCAGATTCAAAGTGTGGAGAGAAACAGACCCTGCCTCTTGATATGTGAGCAGGTGGTCAGGTTGTAGAGAGCACGTGACCCAGGAGATGTTGTTACAGCCGTCTTTGGAAAATGCAATCTGCCATGTGATTTTTAGAAATTATTTTAAGTTCGTTTTTTCATTACTTTGTGTGCATAGGCATATGTGCTATTTTATCAAATATAGGTATCAAGAAATCTATTAACTTTGTAAATCATTTAAATTAGGAAGCTTTCTTTCATTTTTCTCTGCTCAAGAATAATTCAGGTAGATCAGAATTAACTATTTGTGCAAAGTTTGAAAGAACTCCATAAAGTCACCCGAGTTGCCTACATGAGAAAGTTTAAGATTTTAATTTAGTTGGAATGTTGCAGAAATGTTGCAAAAATCAGACCGGGGGAGAAACCCAGCAGCACTTGGAGAGTTGAAGAACTCAGGTTCATTACGCCGCCGGCGGTCCCAGAAGAGCTGGTGCTCTGTAGATCTGGGCCCTGAGCTCAGATGCAACTGAGCTTTTATAGGGCTTATCTGCACAGTTTCATCTGGCCAGTCGGCATGGGCCGATTGGTTAATTTGTTCTCAGGCAGTTACAGAGCAGGAGAGTTGCTACGGGTTGCAGTTAGTTATATTTGTCATTTAGACAGAACAAGCAAAAGGGAGGATGAGTCTTTAGTGGATTTCGAGGTCACTCTGCCTTTTGGCCTATACGGCAAACACATCTACAGAACTGCTTTGTTCTGCACAAAGAGCTGATTATAAGGTTAGCCTTTTGAGTGAAAATTCCTCTTCAAAATATATTGTTTTTTTTTTTCCTATTGATTTCTTATGACACACACACGTATCTATATGTATGTTTAGAAAGGTTTCTTTAGAAAGATTTCTTTCCCCAGCTTGAGAACATTTGATCGCTTATCCACAGCTTATATGTGCTTTGGTTTTCTGTTAGGTGTATATTCCTTGACTCTGTCTAGAATCGTGTAGATGAAGGTGTATGTAGCACCCTTTCCCCCGCCCGCATTGCTCACTGAGCAGGTGAGAACCCGTCCCTTCCTGCTGCTTTGCACTGCAGCTTTCATTTTCTGCAGTGTTATATACTCTAGAGTCTGTTTCTGGGTTTCTGTTCTCTTCTGTTGAAATATAAATTTTCCCCCATACTATGATTTTAATTATTGTAACTCTCTCCCAAGCATTTTAAGATTGTGAAAAATCATTAAATGTCTGTGCCTATGAAGTGTGAACAAATGCTACCTGATTCACACTCAGGGCGTATGCTCGTTAAACTATTGCAGACAAGTTTAAAAAATCTTGTTAAGAATTTGTTTAATTTATATTTTAGCCAAATATTTTTGTGCTAACTTTTGTTTTTGAGGAAGAAGGAGGAATGGTTAGAACAGATACCAACACTCACAGTTTTATGCTTATGAGCATGACTTTCAGATATATGTATGGAGGTCGTTCAAAAGACAATAATGAACGAAGGAAGGAATTGAAATCATTTACCGTTACAGATGGTACAAAATTCAAGTAAACTGAAGCAGAAACTAATAAAAAGTTTTTGTAGTTTATTAAAGAAAGCTGTTTATGGAATAGAACTAGTAATATTTAATTTTTGAATCTTATCAAATAATAAGTTACTTTAAAATGTATTCTTGAACAAAGTGAGTCTTTCATTTCACTAATCCAGCTTGGTTTTGTTTTCCAGGTACTGTTTTGTCTTCGCTTTGGGATACCTCATAGTGTGCCAAATTACTAGAGTCTATATCTTTGATTATGGACAATATTCTGCTGACTTTTCAGGGTAAGATGAAAACTTTGATTTAGGAGCCTGTTTTTTTCTATTCTAACATGTTGGTTAAAGGACTAAATAGAGTTGCATTTAGTAGTTCAAATTAAAACTATTAGTAAACATTTTAGTTGAAAATTACTTATGATTTTAGAATGTTTCTTCTTGTAAAGTAGTCTCTTAGAGTGTTATATGAGCCACAAAAATAATCTTTTATGGTGACTTTTAAAATTTCTCAATACACAGTAATTAAATTTGTGATACCGCATTCCGATATTGAAAGCATTTTCTAGTTTTGATTTCTGCAGTCGTCCACATCAGCCTCCCTTGAGCCTGCATCCTCGCTGCCTCTTCTTCCTTTCTTTGTTTTCCTGAGTCCCTTTTGTACAGTCATTCACCAGCTTCTCTGTAAGACCTGGTCACCTGTTCTTGCTTCCTAGCTCCGCATGGGACTTTCTGTGACCCAGAGGTCCTTGGAGTAGCTTTATCAGTCTGAATTCCTAGAGCGGACACTTGAGCCTGTATTTCACTTACATGGAATGTTCTACATTCTTAGATTTACTGTTCAGCTGACTAGTGGAAATACTCTGGCTTCTGTTCCTTCAAAGGGGATTTAATCCCTCCGTGATGCTCTGCCTGTCACAAAGCTGATCGAAGGCCTGCTATGAGATGAGTGTGGACCAAGTCCTTAAGGACTAACTTGCTCGCCATCTTTGTCAAGGGACATCTGCTAACCACCTGGTGCCAAGTGGGGACATGGAAGATAAACCTCCATATTCTTTATGCCAACCAAGCCTGGCAGATTTCTCTGTTGAACAAGACACAGACGCCGCTTTTATGTCAGTCAGCCCCGAGTCCGCTGGACAGGATAAATAATGACCAGTGAATCCAATTTAAGGAAAGCTAAAGTGGAAAAAATGAAAACAAATAATGGCACTTATAAAAAAAAATCGTGCAAGAGTAAAGATGGACCAAAGGGGTGTTGGCTTAGAGAAAAGTCACTGCTGCAAAACAAGAGAATTTCAGATTTCTTTCTGGAATTCCTTTTTCTCCTCAACGAGATTAAAACGAATTTTACTTTTATTAAACAGATTTTAAAAATAGACTTGGATGAAAGGAGGTTGCACTCAAAGGAACGAACGAAATCAAGCCAAAACAAAACTGATTAAACACACTAAGAAAACTAGATAGACAATTAGCAGTATTTGAGAAGGGAGAATGAGTAGAGCCACCCAGCCTTCGTGCTAGGCGGTCAGTGGCCCTCTTGCCTGCAAGCCGAAGCCCAGGGAGCGAAGGCAGGTCCCTCCCTAGGGATCACCTGGGAGCTCTTTTTCATGGGGCAGTCTTAGTGGAAAAATCTCTGTGTGTGTGTGTGGTTAGGATCAGGATGCATTTAAAATATTAATTAGATGAAGGAGACTTGCCCGGTAACAGAAATTTGTTTTTGTAGAAAGGTCAAAAAGCTACTGAGGTGGTTAGCTTTCCGAAAATATAAAGATGAGTACGAAGTAATTAAACAGCTTTCCTTTACGTCAACAATAATCTATTAGAAAATATAATAGAAAAAGGATCCTAGCTTCAAAAGCAATAAAAACTGTGAAATACCTAGGAATACATGTAAAAAGAAATGTATGAGATCTCCGTAAAAAACTATAAAACTACCGTAGGATATAAAAGAAGACTAACGAAAAATATCTCGTTTACTCAGATAGTAAAATTCACTATTGTAAAGATGAGGATTCCTCTCAAGTTAATCTGCAGGTGTAATGCAGTTCAAGTTGGGATTTTGAGGGAAATTAGACAACTCGAAGTGCTCGAGAGAAGCAAATTCAATATAAAAACAGACCTTTGTAAAGCGGCAGTCATTTAAATATGATGGAAATGACACAGGAATGGACAAATCAAGGAAGCCAGCGTAAAGAAAGAGGTCCATGCATGTGAGAAGAAGATGGATAGAATAGAGATGGTGGGATTATCGATCAGTGGGGAAGCCCCTCTCTACTACTCAGCGACCTTGAGGCAGAATGCCTGCCTCCTGTGTCGATTAGCGACTTGTAGATGGAAGAAGCAAGAACAGGCTTTGGGGCACGAAGGTAATGAGTTCTGATCAGTATATGTTGACTTTTGTGGTGCCAGAGGGATAGCTTAATGCATCCACCAAAAAAGGTGTATGTGACACAATTTTCCGCTCAAATTAAGAACGTATTTAAAGCTAACCAGGTATTATTAGACACTCGGCTGATGCTTCCTTCCCGGTTACTCCCATGTGTTCATTAAGCTAAGGTGTATCGAGCATGTTTTGTACCTTTGTTCAGTGCCAAGTGCTTTTTTTTTCCCCATCGTTTTTCATTGAACTTTAGCATAATATAATACAATATAGTCATTCAACATTTACACACCTTACAATGCGATCACCACACTGAGTCTAGTAACCACTTATTTTTATATCCCAATGTCTGTCATTCATTAAATGAAAGTCTAATGTAAATGTAAACAAATATTTTACATTACAGCAAAACATCAGCGGCTTATAAGGCACTTGAGAACATATTTCCATGCAATTCTCTTTCACTATCTTCTGTACAGAAATCCTCTGCATTGCATGTACCCAGAGCTTAAATAAATATTCGTCGAATGAATAAAAGTGGCCAGTGCTTTTGTAGGTGACAGTCCTGTCAAGCACAAGAAGGGATAGGCCATTTGGTCTAAAAGCCCCGGGTGTGATTGCCACGGTCACCCCTGTTAGAAAGCCTTGCTTAGGCCTCTCTCTGTGCTCTGTGACATGTGGCCTGGCTGCTCCCCGTCCTCCTGCCCCATTGAGTCCAGTAACAATGTCGTAAGTAGGGACGATGTAAATTATTCAGCCGCTAAACCCCAGTGTCCCACTTATCCTGTTTCATCCCGTGGGAGGTCCCCGGCGCCTTGACCTACATTCGGTTAGAGGACACGTTCTGTTCAGCCGCTGCCAAGGTCGTTTAAGTGGCCCAGAGGAAACAGGCGTGGGTCTGTCACATGGCTTCGTTTGTCTGTCCCCCTCCCCCACCAGCCTTGCCCCAGAGCGGTGTGGTATGATATTTACCAGAATCTAATGTGTTTGCTTAAGACCCTAAAATCTGTCCTCCACGGAGTCGCCCTGCCCGGCCTCTCAGCCCTGTTTCTCCGTTCTCTCTTCCTCAGCCGGACGTAACCGCTTTCACGCCTGCCCGCCCTGTTCTCTCTGCTCGGACCACCCCTCCCTGCTCCGATCCCCGGGCGAGACGCCTCCTAGCTGACGTGTTCTCCCCTCATTTTCTCAGATTGAGCTTCTCTCTCATCTGTCTGCGCCTTTCTTCAGAGAGCTCATTGGGCCCTTGGCTCTGTTCCTATAGTCATTCACATACCTGTCGGTCTGCCGCGTTAGGGAGAGGGCTTCTTCGAGACTGCAGTGCATCACTGTATCCTTTCGAGTGCCTTGCGTTTCGTAGCAGCTCCAGCGTTTATCGGTGAAGGCTTCGTTAAGCACCTGCTGTCTCAGATGCTGCTCAGGGTGCCTGTCGTATCGCCCTCTGTTTGACCTGTGCAGTGGCATTAGTATCCCCGCCTCACAGATGGTCATTTCTGGTGGGGGAGTGAGGTGGCTCCCTGGCCTTCCACGGTTGTGAGTAGCGGGGTCAGGATTGGCGCTTTGCGACTCGCGTGTCAGCTGCCCATTCCCCTCACCCCGCCCCCCCGGTCCCTGATCTCCCCTCCCTGCAACTCCTGCTCCTCCTCAGGCAGCTCTGTCCCCCTGGTTCGTGTCCTGGTCAAAAACCTTGGTGGCGTTAGGTCTCAAACCCCGCATTGACTCCATCATCAGATCATCGTCAAATCCTGTTGGCTTTACCTTCAGGTAAAGCTAGACCACGCTTCAGCCTGCGTGTGGCGTCACCCATCTGAGCCACCATCCCTTCCTGCCTGCTCATCCCAACCCCCCGGCCCACCACAGGCTTTCACCCCAGAGCCAGAATATGTGCATTTAAAATCAGGGCGCTTCTCTGCCTAAAACCCTCCACTGCCCCCATGACACCCTACAAAGCCCTGCTGGATCTGCCCTCCTGCTACCTGTCTGTTCCTGTCCCTTTCCTCCTCACCCACCTGCCCCAGTCACGTCCAACATGCCATCACACTTCTGCCCAAGGGCTGTTGGACTGACTTTTCTCTCTTCCTGGAGCATTCTCTCTCTCTCTCTCTCTCTCTCTCTCTCTCTCTCTCTCTCTCTCTCTTTTTTTTTTTCGAGGCAACCCTTGGTCGACCTCACAGATTGCAAGGACCTTGTCAGCTTGCAATCCCTTATTTATTCATTTTTTACACCTACAGCACCCGGTCTTCCTAGGTGGTCTCCCATCCAAGTACTAACCAGGCCCAACCCTGCTTAGCTTCCGAGATCAGACGGGATCGGGCGTGTTCAGGGCGGCATGGCCGTAGACTTCCTGGAGCATGCTTAGCCCCGACCTCCACATGGCTTGCTCCCTGACTCGCGTTCTCTGTGTAAAGGTCACCTTCTGGGTGTGGCCAGTTCTCTCCCGTCTCCTGGCACGGCTTCTCCGCACTGCTCTGTTTCGTTCTGCCAGGCACTTTGTGCATTTGGCACACCTGTGACCCGTTTGCTGTCTCGCTCTCTTACTCATATCCTGGCACTCCCTCTTCCTCGACCCGCTTCGTTCTCCTGCTCGGCGCCCAGCAGCATCTGGCACAGGTAGATTCACCCATTGATTCATGTATCATCCATCTCGCTGGCGCCATGTAAATTTCATGACACTCGTGCACGGCTGTACCTCCCGCATCTGGTGCACTGAAGGTGCTTATCAAACACTCGTTTTCTGAACGAGGGAGTAAAGTGAATGGATGAATGGGTGGCTGAGAAACCGATGGCCTTTTCTATGGCATCTCACCGCGTATTCATTCAGCGTTAGGTGTGTGGGGTTTATTTGGCTTCAGGGGATTTTTGGTTTATGGAGGAAAGAGACTGGTGTACTTAGAGATGGCCGGTGTGGGCAGTCAGTGGTTTGCCTCTGTCGTCATTTAACTTACCCCCTGGCGGCGAGCGGACCTTTTACCTAGTAGGTGCTTGTAGCTGCTTCGGAGCATGAATAGACAAACATCATTAGAGTTAAGCAGTGAGATATTGCAGCAGCGAAGAAGGCGGTTTGATTTTTCTCCTTCGTTCTCTAATAATGTTTAACTACAGTCAGGTTTGACTGCGATGGAACTAAATCCTGTTATTCTTTGCAGAGAAAAAGAAGGCATGTAAATTTTTTAAACTTTTGCATCTTTCTTTTTTTTTTTTTTTGACAAGTCTTCTAGTGTTTTACATCAGATGGGTATCTTTTTTAATATTACCAGAAACCATTCCATCAAAGTATTTATTTCGGACAGTCATATGCCCATTCCTGGCAGAGTGCCATGGGGGAGACGTCTGGAGTTCCACCTGAATGCAGTGACGTCGTCACTGTTTAGAAGGCGCGGTGGCTCCATCCTGTCACTCAGAGAAGGTGCCGTAGCTGTCTGCTCCCCCCAACCCCTGGGGACACAGGGAGAGCTTTCAGGTTACCTCAGACTTCCTGGGACCCCGGAAGTGATCAGGTATTGGAGGCTCCACTAGATGCAAAGTCAACAGGTAATTAAAATGCCAGTAAAGGTCTAAGTGAAATAATTGTGTGAGTCACTCCGATTGTCACCGAAACGGGTTTTTACGAAGGAAATGTGCCGTTAGGAAAACCTAGTGCAGTTAGTCTCCTTGCGAATGGTGCACAGTGCGGTCGGTGGTCTTCACCCTGGGTCCGCGGCCATGAGTTGGGGTGTGTCCCAACTTCCCCATCACTCCTCTGTCTCCCACTCACCCTCGTGAGAGACCCTGCACCTGCCACAGCCGGCAGAATGGGAACCGCATGGGCGAAGGGGGCCGGACACCGTGGGTGCCACGAGAGCGCGCTCTCACGTAGCCCCTGCTGCGTGGGGGAAGGGGGCGCGCTCTCACGTAGCCCCTGCTGTGTGGGGGAAGGGGGTGCGCTCTCACGCAGCCCTTGCTGCATTTTCGGGAAGGGGGCGCGCTCTCACGTAGCCCCTGCTGCGTTTTCAGAGCATCTTACGTATGTACCTAACAGTTTAGTGTGTCACCGAGTCAACGGAATAAATAGAACAATTATTATGTTTTAAGGTGACATGTGAATTAGAATTTAGAACTGAAGGGTGTTTTATAATTCATCGGTGAACTAAGGAGATTTAAGGCAGGGTGAGAAAACGATTTCTTTCTCCCAGAGAAATGGAACTTTAGGGCATTTTTATAATCCTCGAAGGCACGTAAAACACCTGGCAAAGCTGACCAGCAGCTGGGGGCTGGTGAGAGCGGCCGGGCTGGGCTGGCTGAGAAGTGACTTCTGGAGAGTGAGCGGGGTGGACGTAGCACTCACCATGAGGGAGCCCAAGGGGTTCTCCTCCCTTAGTACTTGGGGTTTTAGAGTGACCGTCATCTGACAGTTTTTCATGAGGTCTTGCCTTGTAGGTGAGGAGAACGAGCTGTGAGGTCATTGCCAGTGGTGGGAACGTTTAAAACAAACCCTTTGGCAGTGCTAAGGTGAGGAGAACGAGCTGTGAGGTCATTGCCAGTGAACGTTTAAAACAAACCCTTTGACAGTGCTGACATTGTGAGAAACCAGCTCCTTTCCTTCTGTGTTTAAAGGGTTCGTGACATTTGATTCAAAACGTCCATGAGACATTTGGCCCACACCAAAAGGTCCTTGGTATATGGTCCTGTCAGAAATGCCTACACTTAGAAAACGTCCCTGGGTTAGATAGCCCATAATGCTTATTTCTACTTCTGGTATGCAGCATCAATGCATCAAAATACTATTATGTTTTATCGGACCAATAACTGAGTTGTGGTCGTGTGGCCAACAGTAACCCCACTTGCTCTGTAGCCTAGCTGGTCATGGCACATGGCGAGAGGCAGGTGGATCAGCGTGGACCAAATGTCCCCATGGACGTTTTGGACAGGATCAGGTAGCAAGTAACAGTTTTCGGGGACCTTTTGCCATGGAACGCGTGTCCGTGTGGATGTTTTGGACAGGACCACATGTCCTGCAAGGTTTTAAAGATGCTGGCGCTTTGCCGAAGGTGGCGGGGACACTGAGCAGTCTTGGGCTCTGAGCGGAGGGCCGGTTGCAGGCTGCACATACTCCAAGCCCAGAGAGTGCTCCTTCTCCCTGCAGGAGAAACGCTGTGTCCTGCTTCTGTTGAAATTCCAAAGCTATAAATGAGTAACTCTGGTTAACTGCTCCTTAATGCTGCCGTCCGAAAGCCGACGTGAGAGCTGAAGGGCGGAATGGAGCCAGGTAGTTTTCTTCTGCGGGTTCATTTTTCTTTTTTCTTTTTCAAGTCGTCCATTCGGTCAGAGATTATAAAATATGTTAAAGAATATTGCCACTTTTTTCCCCATATCATGATTTTAAAGTCTTCTTTCCTTCAGCGTGTGCCACGGTTTGCCGGCCCGAGGTGGCTGCCTCCAGGGCGAGGGCGTCCGTGACAGGCCGTTAAGCCCTGGGCGCCTGGCTCCGGGAGTGGGGAGGTGGACAGCCGCCTTTTTCTTTCCCCCCATTTGGCTCCGTTTCACATTTCTCACCCACGCTCCCTTAATACGCCCCCCGCGCCCCCTTCCTCAGGCAGCTTACTCTCCACCTTTCGGCTGAGCCCTGCGGCACAGGGCAGCTGGCCTGTCCACGGTCGTCCGCAGGTCTGACGCCTGCGTGGCCCTGTCCCCTGCCCTCTCCCCACCTGGTGTCCCCTGCATGAAGCAGGATGAGGCGGTGGGGCTGCACCCTCGCCCATGATGGCTTTTCAGGATGAGCTGCTCCATGTTGCTTTGTAAAGCGATGCGCAGGTTCTCCCCACACCCTACCCCTAGGAACAGACACGCGGCCCCCGAGTTATCTCTTCGAAATCCCTTGGAGGTTATTTTTGAATGTTAAAAAACTTCAGGAGTTTGTAGTCATATAAGCAAAATAAACTTTTATTCCATAGAAAGTATTATTTTAAATACACTCTTTTAAAATATTTGTTTTTTGTTTTGTCACAGCCCAATGATGATAATTACCCAGAAGATCACTAGTTTGGCTTATGAAATTCATGATGGTAAGAATGAGAAATTAACTTGTCATCACTGAAAGAAATTATATTCAAACAATCTTTTGCTTGAGAGATTATCATAACTTTTTGTTCTTTATTAGAGGAAGGGTAGAGATGAGGTCAGACGGGAAAATAAATAAGTATGCATAGAGTTATTAAAGTGTGTTTGTTTTTCTTCAGGATTTTATCTTAATTTTGCATTCAATTCAGTGACAAAAGCAAAGTAAAATAGTGTGATTCAGTCATATGACCCATATCAGTGACAGTTTAGAATAGACATCGGGTCTAAATCAAGTTTTATTAATTCCTGCTTCATTTCTGTGTTCCATTTTTATTAAGATTTTTTCGCTTGGCCCTTGTCTCTTACACACACACACATATTCTTAGTGTAAGTATTTATATATCTTTTATTTACAAATATTCATATTTTGCATCTTCAGTGAATGGACACCTTGCCAGAGGAAATGCTAACAGTCAGGACTCTGGGCAAAAGAGTCGGTCTGTGGTTCATTCAAAGTCTGAAGGAGCACCCCGTTAGCACGCCGTTAGACCCCGTTAGCACAGGCATTTGCAGTAGCCAAGGGTGCTTCATGGATGAGTTTTTTAGCCCATGGATGAGATTCTGTGCCATCTGCTCGGGAAGACCTACAAATATTCTTAAGCGTGTTTGCTTCTTAATCCAGTCCTCTTTTAGTCTTCAAATTGGGTTAGGATCTAGGAAGTTGATGTGTAATCATAATGTCCTCTCATTTTGGGGGGCGGTTGAGGTAAACGGCTGAAGAAGGTGGAAGTGTACAGCTCTCGTTTATTAGAGTCACGTAGGAGGAAATCTTTCCTTCCGTAGCACTGATGTTAGTCATTTAAATCACCCAATAATAGAAAAACTTAATGCCCCTTTTTTGAAAAGTCATAGCATTTACTGTTAAAAATGCCAGCTTTTAGGAATTTTTAAACTTGACGATTTCCTCTAGAGGAGTCATATTATTCGCTGGTGTGTGCTGTTCATCTCACACAGACCTAGACACGTTGGATTGCATGGTGGCTGTTGTCTTACGCAGACGTCGACGTGTTGGGTTTCACGACGGTCCTTCGACGAGGTCGAGCCTGTGTGGCGATGAGAAAGAAAGGGACCGATCTTAGCAAACATGACAACAACTTTGGGATCACAGCGTGAATTGCCAATGAGAAAGTGACGAAACTGTGAATGGGGAAAAATGCCATTCTTTTCTTTGGAGACATCGTAACTGATAATAAACCATAATTGATAGGAGTACCGATTTTTATTTCTCAGGAATGTTTCGACAGGACGAAGAACTGACCCCATCACAGAGAGAGTTAGCAGTAAGGTACGTACCTTCTAACTGTATCCTGCTATGGTTCACACTGTCCCTGCCTGAGACACACATCGCTCATGGCCAAAGCTCGTCCTTCTAGAGGTTCTTCGTGAAAACCAAACCCTTCTCCCTTTGCACACCTCCCTGATACCAAATTTTGCTAGACTAGGCGAGGCATCCCTTGTAAGGCTCCCATGGCGCCTTGAATTTATCATCATACAGTACGTACCTCCTGTGCACCGTGAGACTATCTGCCAAGCTTTCTGTCTCCTCTAAGGCTCTGAGTTCCCTGACGACAGGAAGATCACAGTCTTCATGTCTGTCGTAGAGTGATTAAGAGTAATAATTGCAGCTACCATTTGGAGACCAATAACTCGATGACGGGTTTTCAAATAACGAAGAAGTAGTAAGACATTCTCATTATTATTTGTGGAATTCATTCTGAGTTAGGCTTCTGCTTCATTTATTATAGGTGCTCTGTTGACTAACCTAAGGAATAGCTTACTGTCTTGGCGGGATCTACCTTAATCCAGTATAATTAGAGATCAAATACACATTTTATTTAAAGAAAAATGTCTTATGAAGCACCTTGTTTCCTGAAAATCTAGAACTAATAAATGCATGGCTGTCAAGAGAATGAGATTAAGCTTGTGATAGTAGACAGACCTCACCCCTAAGTGTTCACCTTTGATCCCAGGTAGCCTGTCTTGGGGATCTTCTTATATTTTCTTTAAAATTGTTCTATAGGCATTCTCCGTAGTCAGTATATGTCAGGAAATACACGCCTGAACATCCTGAGCTGAGGAGAGGTTAATTTGATCTCAGTTCTCTAATCTTTATGCCTCCGTGGTCCATCCCAGTGACCACTCAGTAGAAGCTCAGCGCCCATTTCCCCTCGGCCTCTCACCTCCTACCTGGCAAAACCCCAGACCTAGTTAATTCAGCTCCCTGCCTACCTGAACCGTGGAAGAAAGCAGAGCGGAAAGACATCCAGTCTTGCCGATGGGACTCATTTTGAGTTTGTTACCCCAAATTTAAAACGATGGCCCTTAGTGTTGCTGATGCTTCTACTGCATTTCCTGAGTCCACTCACTTTTCTCACTCTCTTGTGAGATCATATGTTCTTTCTCCTCGAACCTCCAACACTCCTCCTTCATGCTCAAGACGGTAGCAGAGTTTATTTTTGGAAGAAGTAAAGGCAACTCTACTTCATTCTGCAAAAAACAAATCTGGCTCACGGCCCGTATCTGTACCAAACAGCATCCTCTTTCCAGAGCCAAGTATTAATTGTCCATAATCCACATGTCCCCCACTTCCTCATCTCCCCTTCTCTCCTCCCCCCACTGCAGTTAGGTTTCTGTCCCCACTCCGGTCTGATAGCATCCTTTCAAGGTTGCCCTTATTCAGTGCCAGCCTCAGTTTGCACGTTGCTCGACCTTCAGCAGCAGTTGACCCAGCTGGTCACTTGGTCCTTGAAAGAGCTTCTCACCTGCCTTCCAGGACACTGCGTCTTGTGATTCTCCTCCCGCCCCGCTGGCCGTCTCTCCCCGCCATCTTTGCTGAATGCCCCCCTTCTCTTACCACGAACCCTTCGCGTGCTTCCTGGCACGGCCGGGGGACCCCCACGTCTTCTCCAGGTGATCACACGCGGATGCTGCCGTCTACGTATCTGAGGTCTCCGGGCTTCATATTCCCACGCCGCCCTGTCCCCTGAGCTCCGGCCTCACATAACCAACTGCCACTTCAGCCCTGGGGCCAGGACGGTGAATTGGCGCCTCAAAGAGAACACGTTAACCTCGGACTCCTGCTTCCTCTCTCCCCTCTCCCCAGCCCGTTCGTTCTTCCCCCTCGTCACCCACTTAGCTGATAGTGGCGCCGTTTGTCACTAGTGACCCCATTGTCGCCCACTTAGCCGATAGTGGCGCCGTTTGTCACTAGTGACTTAGGGTGTAAACTTAGGCAAACTCCGTTTTCCTTACCACAAGTCCGCTTCAGTAGGTCGGCTCTTCCTGTGAAACCTGTCTCCGGTCTGACCTTGACATCTGACCATCTCTTACGTGACCCGCGTCTTACCGGTCCCATGAGAGCCCAGCCCAGCCTCGTTTTCGGCATGGTCTCCGGTGATCGCGTCCTAACCGGGCTCCATTGTCCCGCCCTGCTGTCCACAGTCTGCTTTCCACCCAGTAGCCAGAGACCATTTTAATGCGTACTGGGTTATATTATTCCCCTCCGCTGATGAAAACCCTCCAGTGGCTCCTTTGAGAATTGAGAATAAAGTACCAAACTTCTGAGCACCTCATACGAGGCTGGCAGGAGCTGGTGGCTTCTGCTGTCCGTCGCCCGGTCCACCTGTAACTACACAGGCGTCTGCATCTGGAACGCCTCTTCCGTCCCCGCTGTTACACGCTAGCCCTCGGCCTGCTTTATTTTTCTTCATTCTGTGTCTTACTGTCCACTGGTACGTGTTTGTTCATTTTGATTGTCCCTCTCTCTACCCAAATGTAAGCTCCGTGAAGACAGAACTTTGTCTTGTCTATCATTGCATCCCCATTACCTAAATAACAGGTCACCACCGGGGACAATCGTGCTCCCAGGATGCATGTGACAATGTCTGGAGCCACTTTTGGTTGTCACAAATGGGGAGGAATGGCTCTATTGACATCTAATGGATTGAGGCCAGGGTTGTTGCCAAACGTCCTATGTGCACAGGACAGTCCCCCAGAGCCAGGAATTCTTGTCAAAATGTGTCAGTGATGCCGAGATTGAGAAGCCCTAACCTAGGCCCATGCATAGTTGACACCAAATAAAAATTAAGGATCGAAAGAACAAATTTTCATTTAATGTCATAAGTGAAGTATTATAATTATATTTGGCTTTCATTTTAATCACGTATACTCTAGTCACCTACCGCAGCCCCTAAAAGACTTGTCCTTTGATATGACAGTTGAGGCGAAGATTACTTCAGCAAATTTCATGGTTCGGAGTTATCTCCTGTCCTTGCGATTGCGATACATAGTTTGCCTTGGGAAGGCTGAGCTGCACTCACAGAAGCTGCCATTGTTTTGGGGCCTGAAATAATTGGTGTTGAAAATAGAACTTGTTGTTGGCGCACAAGAGGTCCCTTTGTGACCGACCGCAGGGCACGTCCCGGCGTTCGAGCCAGTGGGAAAGCATTTCGTTTCAGCATTCAGTGGCAGGAACCACACGAGAAAATCTACCCGAAACATTCTTCTCTCATCAATTTTGAGTCCTAAAGAGAAAATACTTAAAGTTCAAAACACTTTTTAGTGTAGAAAAATAATTCTAAACGAATCGGAGAAGGCGTCGGGCTGCGTGGTGACCCCACGAGTGTCAGGTGCACAGGAGGTGCTGCTCCCTCCCCAACCGTTTCGCATAAACACGCGTCTGGGCCACACAGCGCATCTGTGCTGCTTCACGAGAGGAAGAGGAAGTAGGGATTGTAACAGGTTAGAGAAGCTGCTGACGGCTCCCAGGTGTAGTTGTTCTTCTGTTTGTGATAGCTTATAGTTGCCAGTGGACAGCAGACTTGATAAATGGAGCTGGTTTTCAAAAATAAATAAAAACTTCCACTACTAATAATTTACTTACATGGTAGTGTGTACAGTCTGCAGATTCTCCTCTGTCACTAACCATTTTCACCCGGTTACCCGCACTGTCTCCTGTGACACTAACCATTTTCGCCTGGTTCCCTGCGCTGACAATGCCTGGTAAACTTTAGGTACCGTGTGCCATTTGTCGGCCCTCGAGGCAATCGAGTCGGAAATGTTGGGAGACGTCCTTGATTCCTTTCTCTCTGACACCCACACCCAGTCCGTCAGCAAACTCGGTGGCTGTACTGCCAGAACATGTCCGGATGCTGTCTGCGCACCCTGCCCCCGCCCCGGTCCGAGCCTCCGTCACCTCCTGCCTGGAGATCCCGGCGCCTCCTCACCGGCCTTCCTATTCCCACCTTTCCCCAGTCCGCACACCCAGGGACTAGAGCAGTTTGTTCAAAACCTAAGTATTTTGAAACAGTCCTGTAGTTTTTCGTCGCATTCAGAAAAAACCCGAAGTTCCCACGTGGCGGGTAAGACAGGCCCCCTGTGATCGCACCCCGGCTCCCTCCCCCGCCCCCCTGCCTCCTTGCCCTGGTTCCGTCCAGTCCGGCCGCACCAGCCGCCCTGCTGCCGATGCCCCGTCCCCAGCCCGGTTCTGGTCGTTCCTGCTGCCTGGATTCCTTGCTCTGGGTGTTCACACGGCTCCTTCGCTCACTTCCTTCTGGTCTCTGCTCAAAGCTGCCTCACCCGGGAGGCCTTCTCTGGCTTCATGATATAAAACACCCCCTTTTCTTTGGAGCACTTAGCATCTCTGAAGATATTCTATACTTTTTTTATTATCGATTTTATGCAGCCGTTAGGTATGTTCTGTGAATGCAGAATTTCTGTTTTTCTAGCTGCAGAATCGCTAGACTCCGGCGCACGTGGGCGCATAGTTGGCTCACACATAGATTTGTTAAATGAGTGACTAGGAAGAGGTGATTCTTTGTGCCTTGTCCACCTTGGGTGTGTTTCCCTGTGAGAAATTAAGTAGAAACTCTTCATAGCTGCACATAAAGCTCTGTAGAGAGACTCTTATCCATAAATACCGTTGCGCATTCCTGCGTCCTGATCTTTGAAAACTCTTGTCGTCTGGATGCAAACGGAAGTTCAAGCGCGTTGTGTTTTGGGAAGGGCAGGCGCGGTGAGGCAGGGGATCCTTCCCGTCGAGCTGCTGCAGAGCGGCCGTCACGTCTCTCAAGTTCGCTGTGTTTCCCTCGCAGGCGCATGCCCAGCCTCCTGGAGTATCTCAGCTACAACTGCAACTTCATGGGGGTCCTGGCGGGCCCCCTCTGCTCCTACAAAGACTACATCACTTTCATCGAGGGCCGATCCTTCCACGCGACGCAGTCGGGCGAAAATGGCAAAGAGGGGCTGCATGGCGAGAGGACGGAGCCATCTCCAAATGTAAGGTCGCGAGCCGCGTCCGCAGCCTGCGCCTCGGTTAGCCTGTTGAGTTAAGGCCGCTAATGTCCAGTTTTGAATGTACCCATCTACTTCTTTAAAATCTTTTTTTCACGGGAAACGGCTTCACCCGGTACCTAGGAGTGATGCCTTGTAGGCGGGCAGTCATGAGGCCGCTTAAGAAACTGTGCTGAGCTGCTTTGTGAGGATGACGCTGTACAGTCACGCAGAACGTTCGATGAGCCGGCCTGATTTTCCAAGCTTCTTCCCTACCTCTGCCTTTTGTTCCAGCAAATTCACAGTGTTCGCTTTTCCTCTCCTGCTTTCCTTCCCTCATCCTGATCAGGGCCAGTTGAAATCTTCCTCCTCTTTAAGGGCCGACTGCAGACGTCACCTCTTTCCCGCTACGACTCCAGCCGTGAAACGTAGCCATAGCTAACACTCGATCACACCTCTCGTCTGCCAGCACCCCTGTGAGCACCTGCGCAGTTACTGTGTCAGCCCTCACAGTGAGCGTACGGGGTCGGTGCTGTTATCCTCGCCCTTAAACAGACGAGGAAACTGAGACTCAGAGGCTGAGTAGTTTGGCCAAGATCCCGGGGCGGCGGGCGCGGGACTAGAATTCAAACCCAGGCGGCCTGCGCCTCCTTTTGAACTGCTGGGTGCCCGGAGCTGCTGAGATACTGCTTCGTCAAGAAAGGCTATGAGACCTTGTGTAGGCGAAGTGTCTGCTGGGTTTGATCTGACAGAATCTAAGGGTCCCATGCAAACGAGGCCAAGCAAAAAGTCTAGGAGACAGTCCAAGGCGGGCTCGTGTGTTTCTCCCAAGTACGGGGCTCGAGGCGAAGGCTGGCCCTGCTTCCTAAGTGACCGGGAAGCAAGGAGTGAATGAGAGGTGTGCGCCCGTTTGCAGAAGCTCTCAGGTTATCGCTTCTCCGCCACGTGGCCCTGTGTTCTACACCCACACAGCGCTTTTGTCTTCATGCTATTACTCAGTGCGAATTGAAAAATTTCTTTTCACACTGGGTTGGATCTCAGACTCGATATCGGGTATATTCAGATTTCGTCCGTCAACGACTTTGTGTCTCCAGGCTGACCACCTCTTACAAGTCTCATCGCCGTGAGAGAGGGCAGGGATAGTTACGGACAGGAAGGTGCATTCGGTTCACGATGTCTTGTCTTGCCCTTCCAGACAGCGGTGATTCAGAAGCTCTTGGTCTGCGGACTTTCCTTACTATTCCACCTGACCATCTCGAACACGCTGCCTGTGGAGTACAACATTGACGAGCATTTCCAAGCTACAGCTTCGTGGCCCACCAAGGTCCTCTACCTGTATGTCTCTCTTTTGGCTGCCAGACCCAAATACTATTTTGCATGGACGTTAGGTAAGTAACACGTGAATAGACTTTTCTGTTATTGTGTAGCCGTGAAGTGTATCTTATTCTACACATAGCTATAAGACTGCCCCCTTGAGGACATATAGTTAAAGACCAATTAGAAAAATGAGAGTCATTTATGTAGAAACAAACCTTAGAACTCATGTCCAAAATATAGGGATATATCCTAAAAACTGTTAGGATATTCTAAAAACTGGGTCAAGGACCCTTTTATTAAATACTAGATTAGAACGGCAACAAATCTACTTTTGCTATTTAAGAATAACATGCACCTTCTGGGAGAACATGGTAGATTGTTATGTAGGGTCTTAATACTTTTCTTTTTTTTTTTACTTTACTGTAGCTGATGCTATTAACAACGCCGCAGGCTTTGGTTTCAGAGGGTACGATAGAAATGGAGAAGCTCGTTGGGACTTAATTTCCAATTTGAGGATTCGGCAAATAGAGGTACGTAGATCGTTAAGAAGCTGGTTACCATATGCCATTCGAAGTTCCGTCATTTGTTTGCATCGGTTATGGTGTGACGTCCAAGAGTGGGATTAAAGGATTTCTAGGACTAACACCCATTCTTTCATTTAACCGATATCTGCTGGTTGTTAACCATGTGCCCAGGCCCTGGGCATCTGGGGAATAAGATAGGTATGATCTGGGCCCTCCCTGACATGCATCCAGTGGGAGTTACAGGGCCGCAGGAAGGTAGGTGATGCTCAGAGAGGTGGACAGTGTGTGCGTGTTATTAGATGATCAGAATCCATCTTAGACGAGGTAAGTGTCCTGAAGGAAATAATCTCGTAAGCTGAGTCCCGACGAAAGATACAGGAAGTGGCCGGGCACCCCGGGCAGGGAGGAGCAGCAGCCGGAGAGAGTGTGGCTCACAGAGGCTCACCGTAGCGGGCAGTGACAGACGAGGCTGGAGAGAGAGTGGCCAGGCCAAGGCCAAGACCGTACCAGAGGCCACATAAAGAGCTTTAAACGCGCGTGAGCGTGATGGCACGTTGCGGGTGGGTTCTGTGCCTCACGCTCTGTGCAGATCTCATTGGGCTCCTGATGGAACAGACCAGCTGGAAAAGCACGTTTTTAAACAGTCAGGGGTATCTGAGTATAGTATGAGTGTTAGAGGATGTGACAAGGTTATCGTTCATTTTGTCGGGTCTGATCATGGTTTTTTAAAAGTCCTATTTATTGGATGTAAATTCTGAATTATTTACAGATGAAATAGGATGTCTGGTATTTGCTTGGAAATACTCTTAATGTCAGTTATAAAAATGGAGAAGGGAGGGGAAATTGCTAATTGTGGAAGTCGGGTGATGAATATGTGGCAGCGTTTCTCACCTTCGGTTCATTGTTACGGAGCCTTCTGAGGCATTTTTTTCCTAATCACCCACCATGAAATTTTAATATCACAGATGTACTGTATATCCATTTATGTACTGTATGTAATATGTGCTTTATATGTAAAAAGAGTACGTTTTCTTGGCTTCTTAAGAACCAGCTCTCGTCCTCGTTGGGGCGATATCACCCCCAGTGAGAAGGGGTGATTACACCCCCCATGAGTGTAAGAAAAAGTATGAAGAGAAGAAGGGACTTAATTTTCCCGAAGAAGGATGTGGGTCTCGGTGTCAGATGCTGCTGAGATGTCCAGTGGGATGAGGACTCACAGGTGCCATCGGCTCTGACAGCTGGCAGGTCGCCGATGACTTTGGTGATAGGCACAAGAGAGGGAAAAGCATAAAAGCTAGATCGTACAACTCTTAGATGTTGTTTACCCATGAAGGGAAGGAGGGTAGAGATAAGGCAAGAGCTGAAGGAGCAGGTGTTGATTGAAGGAAGGATTTGTGTTATAAATGGAGAGACTGAAACGCCGGTGCTGAGTGCAGTATTTGAAGAGGGAGAGGGTGAATAGGGCACGGAGAAAGGGAGACTTCTCCGTGGACGAAGCCCCTAAGAAGATGGACAGAGGGGATGTGATGCCGAGGACAGGTGGGCAGATCGGCCTCAAGGAAGAGGGACCACTTCCGTTGCAAAGGCAGGGAGGGGTGGAAGGTAAGCATGGGTGCTGCTGGCTTGGTAGTGTTGATGGTGAGAATGTGGAGTCCGGTTTCCGACATCTCTGTAAAGCAGGAGGCAAAGTTCCTCATTGTGAGGGACGGAGGGGGCGATTGGACCAGGGATACGAGAGTGGGAACATTCGAAGTATCGGACTGGACCTTGTGACCTTGTGACATTGCTGACATTTACCTGGCTTTGAGTGCTAAAAGGAAAAAAAGAGACAATTTCACATGGTTCGGTTCGATAGCCATTTTCAAGAAGAGAATGAACTATCTAGGGGAACAGATCGCTTGGTAGGTTGAGGGCCCATGGACACAGAGAACCGTGAATCGATGACAGCAGTCTCGAACGCGCGTGACATTCTGCATTCAGATGTTGGTGATCTGCACCTAGGATTTCGATAGGTAGGTGAGTTAAAAGGAAAAAGAAAAGGCACCTGAGATTTTGACGAGAGTAGCAGATAATGGGCCACAGGACGGCAAGTGGCGAGAGGCCGGTGAAGACCCGAAAAGGAGATGATTACATGGCGAAGAAGTGGAGGCCAGGAGAACCAGGGTGCCCTCTGATCAAGGACAGCTTCCCTGGGAAGACGGTGGCCGCTCCTGCAGGGGTGGGTTCCAGGTGGGGAGGGGAGGGAGCTGAGCGACTGCGACTTCAGGGGCCATCCATCCTCAGGAGAGGGTCGTTTGCATTCTCCATCAGATAATTTCATGACGCCCGTAAACATTAACATAGAGGAGAAAATGGCGGTGATCGATGTACCCGTAGATGTTCCCCACGGTCAACAAACTCCTTTGCTTGCGCGATGGTACCGTGTCAGAGAAGCAAGGCACAGGGCATCACTACGCTACGTTGTCAAGTTAATTTAGTTTTAGCACAATAAAACGTTATTACTTCTACTTAAAGCTTCATTGTTTTGTTGGCCAAAGAAAAAAGTTCCTTTGTTTTTCAGATGTCAACAAGTTTCAAGATGTTTCTTGATAATTGGAATATTCAGACAGCTCTTTGGCTCAAAAGGTAAGGTCCCCTCAGGAACAACCTTCAGCTGTGCTTTGGCCTCTGACACTTGAGACCGAGCTTCAGATTCTTGATTAAATTAACAATGTGGCGAGTGACACTGTGACATTGGCGTTCACCAGGAAACACTGTTGACCTGCAAAGCAAGGTCGTGAGTGTAGCTGTCGCTGACCTCTCAGCCTGCCTGTGAAGGCCTCTCCCTAGGTCAGACCACACCAGGGTCCTCCTGCTCTCGCTCACTGGAGATTTTATTGAACCAGAACATCACTGTACAACCACTGTACGTACGCCCCAGATTTTATAGCGCGATTCCAGTTGCAGATATTTCAGATCAGCAGGTCTTTATATGTTAGACACAGGGTACAAAGATGAGTAAGACAAGAGCCTCGGCCTCTGCAGTCCGAGTTCAAGTCTTGTTCAGAACACAGCGGTGCAGGCTACACGTGCTGCTCCCTGCAGCCAGGGTGGTGAGAGGGAGGGAGCCGGGGCAGTGGGGGCCCAGAGGGGGAAGAAGGGCTCGCGCTGAGGTTCATGATCCTTGGGAATTTGTCAGGTGGCCACAGGAGGTAAAGGCGGCCCGGGCAGAGATAATTTACAAAAGATGAAATTAGGAAACTCACAGAAAGTCCCCGTGATTCTGCCTCACTGTTCCCAATGAGACATAAGACAAAATGCCCTGTGTGGAATCTATGTTATAAATTTCCTCTGTCATAGTAGGTCTTTAAGCCCCATTCTATATATAGCAACCTCCTTTTGTAATATCCTTTATTTTATGACAAGTCGAATATCTTTCTCCCTTGAGATAACCAAAATCTATTGTCATCGCTTCATGTTGCCTCGCAGTCCCCCAGTGGCTGCAGATTTTCTGAGCTAGTCTTTTCTGTCATTTTTGTTGTCGTAATTAAATTTTAAATTTGATGACTTAAGAAAAATCTTATTTTCATCTGAGGTTCCTAACCTGTTACAAGAAAACTCTAGACCAAGCACGGCCTACTTGCCAGAAAGATTAGTCTTATTAGATCAGTTGGAAATTCTTAATGTTATTAAAAAAAAAATAAAATAATGTAAAATAAAAATAACTTGACCATTAAAGTTTTTTTTAATAAATAATACAGAATCCCAAACACTGGAAATGATCATTTTAGCTATTACTTATACCAGTGAGAAGATAGGAGTTAAATTTATTTTCCTAAATCTGACAGTGTATAGCTGTGACCTCCCCAAGGACACAGATCACATTACTGCCTAAGACAGGCTGTGGCGATTACCCTGGTGCCCCTAAGACCTGTCGGGTAAGGAACGACCGCTGTGGCTTCGTAAAGTCTAATCACACACTCTTCTTGGCTCCGTGCATTTCGTGGTTCCCAGGGTGTGTTACGAACGAGCCTCCTTGAGTCCGACCATCCAGACGTTCATCCTCTCTGCCATCTGGCACGGGGTGTACCCCGGATACTACCTGACATTTCTAACAGCAGTGGTGATGACATTAGCAGCTCGAGCTGTAAGTATCCAGAGTTTCACTTCATACCTCAGGGGCAGTCTCCTCGACCTGGGACAGAAACTGAGTTGAGTGTTTACAAGGCAGGCCCCGGTCAGCTCTCGGGCCGGAAGCGAGGCGTGTGCCCAGCGTGTTTGCCCGGCGCGCCATGGGCTCCACGCAGGAGGCACCGACAGGGGGCGTGTCGTTGTCACAGAATTTTTAAGGGGAGCCGAAAACTGAGTTAAAGAAAGATCAGATGGGTAGGTTTGTTTCAGAAATGTTTCTGGAAAGCCGTAACCTTTGAGTCTTCTTTTAAAGGAAGAGTGGGGTATCGCTAGGCCTCGATTAAGTGCATGGGCCCTGCCCGGTGGCAGATGCTGCATCAGAAGCAGGGCACAGCTCTTGAGAGCGTTCACTTGCTTGCGATCTGGAGTCATATTTGGGGGAACAATTGAGAAGTTAGGTTGGCGATATGGCTGGGCAAAGAAGAAGGACGTGATGCGACAAAACGGTGTTTGAACGAGCTTCTTATGTCACTTACGGGTAAGATGGCTTCACCGAACGAACTACCGCTAGTTACTGCATTCAGTTAAGGTACACTGGGGATGTATGAAGGAAACATCACGAAATACTAAGGGCTCACTTTCTGGTAGTCTGGAGTCTAACTGGGGCATAAAGTGTATGCATGTGGCATGTGTGTATGTGTGTGTGTGTACACGTGCACCACAAGGCACATAATGTAGATTCCATGAGTTTTATAGATAGTAGGTGTCATAGGTGTTTAGAGGGGAAAGAAGCAAAGTCCCTTTTGGCCAGCTTTATTGGAGGTAGGCTCATTAGGAAAGCATGGTTGGATTTGGTCTTTGAAAGATAAAAGTTATTTCAATGGTGAGTGGAGAGAAAATGACATTTCAGGCGTGGAACTGACGTTAGCAGAACTAGGTTTGAAAGCGCGTGGTGTCTTTGGGAATGACAAACGTGATTGAAGCAGCGATCTCCAGCAAGCATAAATAGGGAATAATTCTGGAAAGTCCAAGGGCGGGGTGGGGGAGCAGACAAATAGCAGGAGAACTTGAGCACCAAACTGGAGAAGAGCCTGATCTGTATTCTGTCTGCATATTAAGGAGTCAGGTGAGGTTTTTAATCGTGGGACTGGAATGCTGAAAGCCGTGCCTCAGGGAAACCAATTTGCCTTTGGCTGACAGGAGGGAAAAGAGAGTGGGTGGCTGCGGCAGGGCGCTGGGCAGGCAGTGGAAGGAGCCAGATTCCGTCCTGGCCGCTGAGAATGAGGGTCTCTGTGCGGGAGTGCCATTAACCGTACCCCGGAACCCCTCTGAAAACCTCGTGTGGCATCCTCGTGGTGGGGATGTTTCCTCTATAAACAGACAAGAAAAGTGGGGAACACGATAGAAAAAAAAATAATGTTCGGTTAAGTTACACATTGTAAAACTGAAATGTTCTAGAAGCTTAAAAAAATTAAAATAGTCTACAGCCATGCCACCCTGAACAAGCCCGATCCCATCTGATCTCGGAAGCTAAGCAGGTTTGGGCCTGGTTAGAACTTGGATGGGAGACCACTTAGGAAGACCAGGTGCTGTAGGCGTAAAAAATAAAAAATAAGGGATTGTAAGCTGACAAGGTCCTTGCGATCTGTGAGGTCAACCGAGGGTCGCATCACCTCAAAAAAAAAAAAATTAAAATAGCGATAATTAGACAAAACGTTTTTTTGAGAAGCTCATCTCAGCTTCCATTAATGAACAGGTAATGTACATACTCATTTTTTTGGTCATTTTTATCAAATTTCATTTTTTTAAATAAATAATGCCTGAAGCTCATTGGATACGGTCTGTCACAGATGCAGAGGATGGAAAAAAATAAGGATGTCTCATTTTATATTCACTGCTGTGAACATAGTTAATACCTTGAAAAGATGGGAAATAGGTTGAACTTTATTTATAAACTGTAGTTTTACCAAATAGGGTTGAAAGACCTGTAGAAACAGTGTTCCTAAAAATGTTATTTTGAACTGTTTTTGAAACTTTTAATTTTAATCCAACTTCAAATCCACAGAAAAGTTGCAAAGAACTTCTCAGTGCCCTTTGCCAGATTCCTACATTTTGCCCACGTGCTTCATCACCCTTTCTCCATGTTTTTTTATGCACATATGCATTAGTTTTTCTGAACCACCTTTTCCGGTAGTGGCGCTGCAATTTTAGACTCCAGCAATGTGTGAGTTTCAGTTATTTCCCAGTCTGTGTACTTTTGTAAGTAGTGTTATCAGGATGAAGCAAATATTCTCGTTTCTTCATTTCAGATAAGAAATAACATCAGACATCATTTCATTGAACCTCCCCCGCTGAAATTATTGTATGATGTTATCACGTGGATGGTTACTCAGATAGCAATAAGTTACACAGTAGTGCCATTTGTACTTCTTTCTATAAAACCGTCATTCAAGTTCTACAGGTAAGTGTAACTCTTAAAAATATGTCAGTGGGAATGACTTCATTTTTAAAAGCTCTGTGCTATTAGGTATAATCGAAAAGGTCTGCCATCGCCTCATTTCCTGTAGCTAAATACATCATCAGTTACTTTTTAATTTTAAACCAGGCAGCCTCAGGTTTCCTTATAGAGTGGTTTCGCTGCTCAGCCCTAGGATGAGAGTCTGAGTTAGAAGAATACCAGCTGGCTAATCACTGCTTCGAGTCTCTCAAAGGTTTAACTAGAAAATATAGCTTTTTTTTTTTACAAAGAATGATTAATTCTCTTGATTTCTTTATCAAAAGAACATAAATTACTTATATTTCATTTACTTGCTTTTGTTTCACTGTCTTTTATGTTTCATTGGTACTTTGTCATCTTTCTGTTACAGAAGTTATTGTCTTGGAGTCCATATTTTATTTTTCCGTCTAACTCCTCTCCCTCCCACATATTAGTGCTGTCTTTGAAGTGAAAAGCTTTATCTTTTCATAGATGCTCCGTTACCCTAGTATTTGGAACGACAGCACAGAGTATATGGTCTAAAACTGTTGAATGTGATGATAATCGTGCAGGAAGACATTAAGTAACTTTTGCTAAAATTTCATTTTAACAAAACTGTTACATACTTTTAAATGCAATCAAGCTGTCGGTTGGATTTTCCCCTAGGTTTTTTGTTCACAGTCACTTGAACTTAGTTTAGGTCACATTCGATTTATATTTAATTTGGGGAATGATATTTCTAATAATATTTTTAATAATGGGACATTTCGTGGCAGTAACCATCAAAAAGCAATATTGCTTATCTGTGAGTCACTTCATGAGGGTGTTTGTGACTCCTTAGGGACAGTAAGTAGTGGGGGAGGCCAAGGAGTTCAAGTCCACTGCTGTCCCTGGTTCTCTTTTTCGCTCACTTTTTGATTCTGTGGTTTTGAGGGAGTCCAGATCACTACAGCTACTAATAAGTGGTTTTTGTTCTCTTTAGCCATGGCCTTTGACCCTTACAAAAGAGTGTAACGTGATAGCTGGTCTCAGGCTCGTAACCGGCCTGGGTTCATCCAGAGCTTTGTGAATGCCTCCTGGCGTACACCGTAGAGTTGCATCTCAGGGCGATGGTGGGGGAGGATGAAAGACTAATGCAGTAAATAAACACATCCCGGGGGCGGGGCCCGTGTGACGTTCTGACAGGTATGTAGTTATCGAGGATTGTTAATTAGCAAAACTTAATAAGCTTTTTCCTTTTGCTTCTAGCTCCTGGTATTACTGCCTTCACATTGTTGGTATCTTAGTATTATTGTTGCTACCAGTGAAAAAAACTCAGAGAGGGAAGAACACACATGAAAATGTCCAGCTGTCACGATCCAAAAAGAGTGACGAAAGAGAAAATTCTTCGGGACAGAATAGTTGTTCCACAACAAACAATGTTTGCAATCAGAACCAAGAAATAGCCTCTAGACATCCATCATTAAAGCAATGATGGGGGAAACCCTCGACGGCTATTGTGTGTGTGTTAACGGAAACCAATCTTAGCACCTTCTCAAGGGGTTTGGGTTAGTCCGAAAAGGGATGGAGTGCGGGAAATCGGACCGTTGTCGGTGGGGAGTTTTCTGTACACCCAATGGGAAGTGGAGTGAAGTAACCCCTCCCATGCCATGTCCCTGTGGGCCACGCCTTATATAAAATATTTCCATTTTTTCAACGGGCACTCAGGACCTCGGCGTACGTCCGTAGGTCACATGCGTGCCCTGTTGCTGAATGTACGTGTGTACCCCGAGGCGCTGAAGAGATGGAAAAACAACGTGTCAATCCAGATGACTGAGAGAAATCAACTTTTCCCAAATGACTGCCTTGCCTTAAACCATTTCCTCAAATATCGTTCCTACATGGTATTTCCAAGTGTAGTATTGTGAGAACACTATTTCGGTATTTGATGTCGTGTGCTGTAAAGGAATTCTGGAAGGATTCGAAACAGGATATTTAAGGTCGTGGGGTACTTTAAAAACGCAATAAACATCTCGGTATTGGAAGGGTTTTCTTAAGGTATCTCAAGTGACTACAGGACGCAGTGAAACTGTCAGCAGGGTGCCGAATTATAGGTACCTTATTCCCCTGAGAGTTTAATTACCTTGTGTCAGTCAGAGAGCCCTTCAAGGAAGAATTCCTTAAACGTAACTGAAGGTTGGCAGTGCGATGTTTTAAGCCTATTTTCTTGAGAGAGAGAGAGAGAGAGAGGATGACAGGGAAGGCAGACAGGCACGAATGAAGACAGCACGACGTGGCCCGGAGCGGGAGGCGGCAGCGGCAGCTGTGACGGGCAGGTGCGCAGGGCAGGGGCCAGGTGCTCAGCAGAAGTGCTTTCCCCCCTTATTTATCTGAGTTTTCTGTCATGATCTAAGACATAAAAATTTAATAACTTTTTAATACATTGGACTTGGAAATTTATCAAGCAGAAGTTATACGGAATTCTAAGAGGATTATGAAAATAATCGCGGTAGACCGCTCGAAGGTTTTGAGTAAGGCTACTGTCTGGCTAATCACTCTCTCACCCTTGACACTTTAATTCACATTTAGGAAAGTTTTCGGGAAATGAAAACTTCGTCGTTGGGTCCGAACTGCACCTTTAGAGAATAATACAAATTAGTTTCCCAACTCTTAACGTCTCACATTAAAATTTTGCCGTTAACTCTCGTTGATGAGTTTCTGATTCTGTAAGTAGAAAAATATTCTTTTATCTCATGGGCCGTTTTCCGCCACAGCGGACCTCACCTGGAGTTGCTCCGAGGTGTCTCCTTTAACCCCACAGAGTCGTGCGACGCCGCAGTAGCTGCAGAAGAATGGGGTGTGACTCCGGGTGGCGTCGGGGCCTCGCCGTGCATCCTAGACCCTGGGCCGTGAGGCAGGAGGGCGGGCAGAGCCTTCGGACTGCACCTTTATTTGACCAGTTTTTTTGTGGAATTTATTTTCTTTTTGCCTTAAATTATTTAATGAATTGCAAACTGTCTATGGTAAGTCTCTTTATGTTTGTCCTTAATAAATTTGTAAATGAACTTAAGAACAGAACAACTATCTGGCTTAAGCGATGTAGTATTTCATTTAAAGAAGGAAAAGCAAAGGTACTTGGAACTTTTGAGGTCTTCATCAGCAAAAATATCAGTGTACCCTTTTAGAACTTCAGAAATATCTGAGTATTTGTTTATATGAAATGTTTTTATTTTTCTAACGGTAAATTTTTTCCTACCTGCTGAGGTTAGCCATGCTACCTTCTAGAAAAGAATACAGACAGCTGAGTAAACTTTCTTGTTTTCCTCATGCGTTGAAATTAAGCTTGCTGTGTAATGTGAGAGGACAGAACAGAGTAATCAGGAGAAGGATCCGCCTCCCAGCATCTCTCCTCAGTTTAATTAATGCTGCAGAGACTCTAATCGCCATTAAGAAAAAGTAAATAAATTTAGAGTTTAAAAGACAAGTCTAGGCACGTCATGAAAACAAGAAAGCTTATTAAAACTTGTTTCTTCAGCCTGCTTAGCCATTTACAAGTGATCACCGTTCGTTTCTGTTACCTGACTGTCTTTTATTTCTCAGCCTGTAAACGTGAAATCACTGTTGTCTCTGGCTCGGTGATTATAATCATAGCATTACCGTTGAGAAAGCGAGATAATTGATCAATTCAATTGCTTTGAAGATAAATAGTCTGATTTTCTTCCCGCCGGATCATCGACAAGTTTTTTTTTGTACAAAATGGCTTTTGGATAGCTTTTCTCTAATCTTGGGAAAGTTGTAATCACAAGTATGCAATCTGGAAGAAAAACTAAAGAAGTAATTCTAATTTTCAACTTGACTTTTCTCCTCGAGAAGAAGCTTTGTGCTCTATAAAATGGATTTATCTACTTGGAGTATTGCAAGGATTAACAACACTTCTATTTATAGGAGAAGAATTGGAAGCTGGTATGTCTCTACTACTGTGAAGTCTGAAGCGATTCATTGTAATGTGTGCTGCTTTTTAAATCACAGAATAGGATTCAGTGCATATCTATATTATTTCTCCTCTCTTCAGTTGCCTGGAGACCACTCCAGAGATGATCGATCAACATCACATTTATACTTTTGGTTAGCTGTTATACTACTCAGGGAAACAAATGAACAAAAATAATTATTCCTCCCTCAATTTCATTATCTTGAAGCAGTTACAATGAATTTAATTCGATGTATCTCAGCTGTCACCATTTTACAAGGGGCTTATTCTCAGTTTTTAAAATAAGCGTTTTTATTGGATCTCTGGGTAATTGGAGAAATTTATTTAACTTCTAAAGTGTCCCGCATGAAAGGGAAGGTTTATTTGGCTTCAAAAATGCCCAGCCGCCACGTATGCCACCACCACGCTTTTGATTAAAAAGTATTTTTGTATGATCTCTGCCATATGCGATATTCACATACAGGATTTCCACAGATACCAATTTTGAGAAAAATTTGTAGTAAAAACGATGGTTCTAAAAAGTGTAGGTAACGCACACTGAAGGACTCAGTGTGTTCGGCCGAGACCTGGAGCATCCGGCTCTGCCATCGGTGAGCCTGTGGCTTGGACAAGTCACCTGTGCTCTAGACCAAAATTGCTCAATGAGCCTAGAGGGACAGTTCTAAAGGTTTATGGCCAGTGGTGTTTGTCGTAAATGGAAGCTTTAAGCAAGACGTGTCAGAGTCACAGACAAGGGCAAGTTCACAATCAGAATTATTGGCACAGTCATTTATTATTGTGCTCAAAGTCATGACTTCTCAAAAGGTTTTCCGCAGCAATAGAAAACTTTTCAGTCCATTAAATCAGAAGGTGTGGCAGCGTACTGCTTTTCCTGAAGATAGCCCTTAAAATGAATCTTTCGTAATGAAATAGTCTCTACTGTAGAAAACGTATTTTCCTTTCGCTTTCTCTGCTTTTTTGGTCTCTGTGCTATGTAAAATTGAAGAAGATATATGCTAAAAAATATTTTATACAAATTACCAATTTCAGTGGACAGGGTTTACCAACATAACTTCTCAAATATTATTTCATTCAAAGATATTTAAAGCATATTTAACTGAGTTATACCTTATTTTAAACTGTGGAAAAATTACATTTTTGCTATTAAAGAAATTACAAAATTTATACTTTTAATCGAGGACGAGATTATACTTAGGACGAAAATCTATTTAAAATTCATACCTTACAAATTTTAATTCATATATTCATGAACGGCCCTGGACATTTATACTTTTTGCCTCATTATAAACTGAAATAGTAAATGGTTTTAAGAGTTATATATTATAAGTGAAAGAGAAAATTACTTGAGAGAATAATTGTTTCAGGATGGTGTCAGTGAAGGATTTGTCCCGAGTTTGAGATATAAACCAGTATTTTGTGGCGTTTCCTTCAGCCACTCATAGTCCATCCTGGCCAAAGTTGAACACATCAGATCTAATGTAGGTGCAGAATTCTAAATAACACTGTGAAACGTAATCTTAGCTGCCCTCCTGTACCTTGTAGAACTGACAACACTTGACCCAGTGTACATTTACTGAGTGGCTGGTCGTTCGGACACTGAGTTTAGATGCTGACGGTTCTGCCTTCTACAGCCTGTCCACGTAAAGGGGGCTTTGCATCCACGCACTGTCCTAATGCCGAAGGAAAGGATTTGCATGGAAAAGAAGAAAGTCCACTCCTAAATTCGAATTTGAAAGATTAGAATGGAGGAGGTCTCTCCAGGGCGTTTCCGCAGCGCCACCAGTTAAATCTATTTATAGGAATTCGGTATAGAAGAAAATTTAAAAGGAAATTCCCACGCTGGTATTTGTAGGAACGCTCTTGCGATGGATGACTACGCCGTGCTTGGAGGTTGTTGGACAGAGGAGGCAGCCAATTCCATTTTGATGGGTGAGCTGCTTAATACTGTTTTTCTATGTTTTAAAATAATATTTATTTTAATAGGTTTTTAACATTATGCAAACCCCAGTAAAGAACTGACAAGCTCTATAGGTCATTCCTTGGGAAGACTTTCTAAAATGGACATATTTTTATGCTAATTTGTCTTGCCTTTAAAACTGATTACAAGTCTTTTAGTACACTTTTTATAAAGGAGACCAAACAAACAAAATAACACCCTGAGACTACGGGTTCTATAAATAGTAGTGTAAAGATCCATGCAAAACCGCTGTCTAAAGCTTCCTCGGTGACACACAGGCACGTCTCCAGTCACGTGGGATCAAAGTTTGCTACTATAAAAAGAAATGGAAATATAATGAAAAACCAGAAGTTATACAGCAACATCAGTGGAATGACTAACCATTTTCTTAACGCGTTAGAAATGGAAACAGTGACTGGCTGCCTTTTACTGGAGTTGTGACTGCGTCCTGCCCAGTCTCTATTTTGGGGTAACTTCTTTAAGAAATTGCTATGTTGATCCTCCTTTTTTGTCCTTCCCCGTAGAAGGACAAACACACATAAAGAGTTTGACAGACACTTAAAATATGCCTCTTCCCCAATTTTAAGTGTTTTTGATTCTGTATAGATGGACTTGTCAACGAAGTCCGTTTGCTCCTGACTTTTTGTCACATGGAGAAAGAAATCAAACCTCCGACACAAACGTACGTGTTCCCAACCAGTCTCCACCTTCTGCCGCCGGTATGTGACTGCCTCTCCGAACCAGAAGGGGCACGACACAAAGCATTGGGAATGGAAGAATGATTCAGGTGAAGCAGGAGCAACAGGGCCACACACAGTGAAAGTGTGTGATTTCATCCCGCCTTCCCGTAAGAGCTGCATCCCGACCCCGCCCGGGAGAGGGGGCCGCCGCCCCCAGACGGGAGGAGGCCGGGCGCCGGCGGCCGCTGTTTATAGGACTCACTTGCCTTCCCTGGGTGGGAATAGAATGTGGTGTTCTGTGCTTTTTGTTTTTATTATTCCAAAATATTTTTTTAAAGAAGTGTTATTTTTCAACAGATTCATAAATTAGTTCTCGTCGTATGGTCAATTAAAACCACCTCTGTGTCAGTTACACTGCGACGTGATAATTTCGTAACCACTCATTTTTAGTCTGTGTCCTCAGAGCTGCACTGGTGGCTTATTGCTGGGTTTTAAAGATGTTTATAACTTACCTATGAATGTTTTTTTCTAATTTGTGTGTCTTTAAGACTGATTAAACAGTAGTTTAAAAATACACGTGTGTGTGTGTGTGTGTATTTTTGAGGCCTTAAATTTCACCTCTAGAACTGAAAACTGGGCTGCACTGGTGGCTTATTGCTGGGTTTTAAAGATGTTTATAACTTACCTATGAATGTTTTTTTCTAATTTGTGTGTCTTTAAGACTGATTAAACAGTAGTTTAAAAATACACGTGTGTGTGTGTGTGTGCTTATTTCAGAGGCCTTAAATTCCACCTGTAGAACTGAAAACTGGGCCTGTCGTGAGAGGTAATGGTCTTTTCTAATTGAAGGATTCTTCAATACGATGATGATATTCTAAGGAGTCATTGACTCCTTACTTAAAAATCATTTAAAAGAAACTATCACCACATTCTAAACACTCGGGGAGGTGATTAAAACAACCTTAAATTAGTATCATGCATTCTCTCTTAAACCACTTACTCAGTGACAAGGACGCTGACTTTCCTCTCAGTTAAAAAGGAGTCAGCTTTCCCAGTGCCGATGTTGGCCTTTGCACTGTGCTCATGACTGTGTCTGGTTTTTGCTTTTGCAAAGCAGAGCACTGACACTCCCCCTGGATTTCTGCTCCACCATTATGTAAACTTAAGGGAGCTTTGGAGTGTCCTTCCAGGCGCTTCCAGGCGCTGTCGTGAACCTGGGTGGGGAAAACATATCAGCTCGCACTGTTACAGAGATGCTGGGCTTGACGCGTACACTAAGTCCAGTCTTGGTGCTGTCTGTCTGGAAGGCCTTAGGCTATGATGGCAGATCTAAATGACCCCATTCTGTAGATTCAGGGCTGGGCCAACATTGGGCCGCGAGCAAGAACAGTGCAGACACGACACCCAGAGCTGCCTGCCAACGCAGCCCTTAAGTGTGTGCTCGTCCCGACAGGTGTGACAGCTAAGGTTAACCTGATCTGCTTCACAGCACGGAAGGCCCCGGAAGCCAGGTGATAGCAGGCCTCCTGTTCTATATAGATGGACGTTGTAATTTTTTCTTTCAATTATTCATTCCATAGTCGTTTGATGAGTTCCTACCTGTGTGCTAGGTAATGAAAGAAGAAATGATTGCCCTTCAAGGAGCTAATAAACGATGACCATAAATAAAGTGCTTTGTTAGAGGCAGGCGCACAGGGTGCTTGGGATGAAGAGGGGGTGAGGCGCTCGGCCAGAGTCGGATGGTGGCACAGAGGAGCTGGCACTTGGGTTTGTGAGGAAGTGTTTTGTGGGGCTGAAAAAGATGTGCAAAGGAACTTAATTAGAGGAAGAAGGAAAAGCACATGCCAAAGGTTTTATAGTGTTAGACACAGAATAAAAATAACGAGTTATGCAAGTTTAGATCCAT